CGAAACCTTTGTGTAACTCTGTAATTCTGCTAAACCTACTAAAACGCAGGAAAGAGCTGGAAATGAGGAGGAACCCTGTGGCTTCTCAGAACCACCAGCTCCCTGCACATGTGGGAGCTTATGCTTTGAAAGGAGCTAGGGGCAGAATAAAGCAAGAGGCACGCATGACCTACACATTGACAGCTTTTAGATCTCATGTTTGTCTTTAAGGCACTGCAAAGCCAGTCCCTCCCTGGGGAGTGTGTGTGTCAAGTGTAAGCCAAGCAACCCACCTGACCGGGTGGAAATGCGAGGGGGCGGGGTGTCTCTTCACACTCTGATGCTGCCACTTGCTCCTTCGGGTGCTGGTCCCCTCTGGGTGCTGCTCACAGGCTATAGTGCAAGTATTTGGGGTGGCTGAAGGAGGCTCTGCTCCCAGCTGTTCGCCTTCCCTGTCTCAGGGCCAGGAAAATGAAAGGTGTTTCTGCTCTTCAGCTACCTCTATTTGTGGTCTGCTGTGATGAGATACGCTGAAACCTACAGTGTAGGGTTTGTATGGGACAAGGTGATTGCTGTCATTGGGGACTGGACACACCATCTGTACCATCAGCCCTGCTGCGGGGACGGTCGCCTTTGGCAAAGGAACACCATGCACACTTGGGCCAACAGTTGCCACATCCGAGACGTAGCCCTGTGGTTCTGTTCCTTGAGGAGCGTATCTGACTAAAGCAATACCCTGGCCCCACGAGCCTGCAGACAGTGGGTGCACGAGGCTGTGCCAGCCTCCCCACCAGCCCTGGTTACCCATGCACAGCCTGAGTCACTGTTTGACCCTGCTCTGTGTTGAATACTGAAACAGGGAGGGGAACAGATGGCAGCAGAGGGGACATCTGAAGGAGGGAGGCAGGGGTGGCTCCCAGCGACCCATCGCTCATATGGGGCAGGCCAGAGGGGGATGCAGCTTTTCAGCACTTGCTTCAGAAAAAGGTGGGGGATACGAGGGGTGCCCCACGCTTACAAGGGGCTTACAAGGCGTTGTGGGTTCCCCATCCCATGCAGCTGCCTCCTGCCACCCCAGGAGACCAACGCTTGCTTTCTTGGTCCCAGCCTGGCAGGCTCGGGAGCTGGGCAAACTCCCCAACACCTCTGCCTCCAGAGCCTGAAGGAAGACGCAACCCAACCACGGCTCCACCAGCAGCGTGCTCCTCCCTGCCTCCAACAAGTCCCCGGCATCTCCTGCCCCATCTGAGGGAGGGGGACTCATTTACCACCTCCGTGCCACAGCAAGAGCTACAGGGCTTATGGGGAGAGGGTGGATCCTTCCCTGTACTGGTTTTGGCTGGGATAACACTAAGTTAAACACTTTGTGTGGGGAGGATAGTGCCCCACCGGCTGCCAAAGGGGAAGCTTTTTTGGCAAGAAGGGGAGCATTTGGGAGGTGAACCCAGCAAAGTCCTTCCCCGTCCCAGGCCGTGGCACCACTGGCCTGGGGCTGTGCCCCAAGGTTTTACTGCACCCTCCGTGCCCACGCGGGGCACGTGGGGCCCTACAGCCCTGGCGAGCCTGCGGGATGGTGACCCTGCAAGTCCTGGGTCCGAGCAGTGCCTCTGCCCTTCCTTGCCCTTTTCCCATGGCCTGAAGTTCAGCTGAGTTTATCCCGCCTCCCAGTAATCCTGGCTGCTTTCATAATCCAGGTGTGCTCCGTGCCAACCCTTCTCCGGTGTGTACGTTTCTGGTGCTCTGGTCTTCTTTAACAGGGAGAGGAGGGATGAGAAACCAGAGGGCCCTGCAGGCAGCAGACCTGTAGCCCCCACCACCAAAGGAGCCCTTTGCGGGGGAGAGAGTGGGCACAAGCCTTACTGGGTTTACTGGCCTTCCAGTGGTCAGGTTTTAAGAAAAACAGCACAAAAGTCAGGCAACCTCGTGCCTCCGTCACTCACGTTGCATTCGGATCTGATCTGTCTGGCCCCACCAGTTTTAGGATTTCCCCGGGACGTGTATGTGTGTGACTAAGTGGTCATCTGGGTTGGTTTAAGCTCAGTTGTAAAGAAAGAGGAAACTGCTGCTTTCCCAAAAGCCTCTCCTGAGGTGTGAGAAACCTGCAGAGCGGCACCACCCCTTTCCCGCCAGCCCCAAGTTCCACAGAGATTTGTGTTTAATTTGGCATTTAAAACAGCCCTCGCGCAAAGCTGCCTTAATATTGAACAAGCGCAAAATAACTCTGGGCAGATTAGTATTTTTGTCATTACAGAGCTTTAAAAAAGTTACTCTAAAAAGCGCCATAAATACATGGAAGAAGATTTTTCACTCTCTGCTGAGCAGCATGCACAGTAACAACCAAGCAATCAAGAAAATCGCTGTGCCCTGCACCGATGGGAGTGCATATGGTGTCCCTCATCCCTCCTAGTTCTGCTGCCTCTGGGGCCAAGGTATGTTTGAGAGGCACTTTCTAGTCTGCGGCAGTCAGTGAAGGAGTTGATGAGTGTCTGGGATGTGGAAAACACACATGCTGAGAGCACACTTTGCTCTTATTTCTCCTGTTAGCCTGTCCCTTTGCTTTACCAGACCCCACTGAAGCAGGGGAGCTCGCTCTGTCTTATTTAGCACGTTTTTGGCTCCTCCTGGGACATACTTTAGCTACACATAAGCCATCAATGCCAACCACATCAGCCTGAAAACCTCATTTCTTGAAAGTTTGGTATTGTTTCAAGCACATCCCTCCTACCTTCAGCCTGCAAGTCAACAACTTGCATCAGACCTTACATACCCGCTTCTCAATCTGCTACCCAATGTTACATTAGCACCCCTGAATTTTCTGTCCCATCCTTCTGTGTTACACATGTGGAACTGTGTAGGTGGAGGGGAGGGTAAACGTCGTTTCCACCCCAAGTTTACCAGAAAAAGGCAAGATGTCCTGTGACATGTTTCAAACCAATTCCTAGGAGGGCTCTTTCTCATGCCAAAGGATTCAGAAGATCCAAATGTCCCTGCATTGCCCTTCAGTGCTGGTAGGCAGAATGGGGAAGGCCCAGCCTGTCATATTCTAGACAGCACTGTGCCTGAGGAAGGGGGTTTGCTTGCCAGGAGCATATGGATATGTGGTAGCATGGCATACCATGTAAAAACTCATGCGAGAGGAAGCCTCTAAAATGGGAGATTACAGTCTCATACCATCAGGAGTATGTTAAAAAAAAGTTATTATAATTATTATTATTATCATCATCATCATCACCACCATTATTTTGCTTTGATATTGTTTCTACTTTCAAATAAAAATATTACACGTGTTCAGAACATCAGAAAGACATATTTTTACAAGCAGAATTAAGTACCTACAAGCTCCTTTCCTATTCTTGATTATGCAAGTACCTAGCAAGACACAAGTGAATAAATACAGGAATATAGACCCAGCAGACACAGACACATGCAGTGATGAAAAGATCACATCCTTCCTCCTGAATTTGCTACCCCTGTAGCTTGGGTTTATATTTCTTCGTTTCTTAAGCACTCCTAACATTGAATCAGCTTGCTTTATTCAAGAAAAGTAGCATGGAGAAGCTACTAACTCTCCTCTGCACCCTCAAGCTGCTGATCTCTGGTCCACAGTGACAGCTTTGAAGAAGCCAGCATCTCTTTGCCATTTCCCCCCCAGCCGCAATCTCCCAGGCGGCCCACTCCAACCCATGGAGACCTGTTGCTGTCACCCCACCAGCCATTAGAGGAATCACATTCCTGAAGAAGAACACCAGTCTCTCATAGTCAGGCTGTTTGGGTTTTTATTAATTAAATATTCCACATACAAAGTACTAAATAAATATATAGCTGTGTCAGACACCAGTGTATCATACACACCCACTTGGAGAGCTCTATATATTTATATATGAAATATCATGGAAAGCTATTTACCAAATGCAAAGCAGGCTACAGAATGATTCAACTCTGCAGACTCATTGCTCATCGCCAGGATGCAGTCCACACAGCACACACACATGCACGCACGCACACACACGCACATGCTCACGCTTGTTCCCCGCCCTCCATAACTTGGCTGCTTGGGAAATGTTCATGTTAATGCCACAGACACACTCGGGAGGAAGCAGAGCTCCAAGACGCACGGGATTAGATCCCACCAGGGTATTGCAAGCAGCTGCATGGAAGAGGTTTTGTCTGCAGGGATCCATAGCCCGGGGTGGCAGAGGTGGGGAGGGAGGATTTGGGGTTGGGCAGGCACCCTGGGGAGCTCAGCTGGGGTGTGTGGTCAGAAGTCAGAGCTAGGAGGGAGGCTGATGCTAGAGTGCAAATCAGAAAATGTGTCAGGGTAAATAGGTGTAGATGGTTTTATGTCTTTAAATTTCCTTCCCCCTCTCCACTGTGGGCTCTAGGTGATGAGGAAGGGGTTGGAAGTGAACATGAGGAATAAAAAAGGAATACTCTTTCTCTCTCTGTCTCTTCTCCACTTATCTCTGGAGGAGATCCAAGCAGAGCTGGGAGTGGGCACAAAAGTAACGGTGGATATATAAGAGTGTCCTCGGCAGTACCTGAGATATGTTCACGGGTGGGCAGGAGTGGGAATGTGTAGGGCTGATGCTCCTCCTCCTGCCTTTTTTCCTGTCAGACGTGGGGCGCAGGCATCCCCACGACCTGATCAAAGCGAGTCCTGGCTGGGGCAGAGCCAGTTGCAGACCCAGCTGATGATCTTCCTGCCGCTCTAGCCCCACAGCTTTTTTTTGGCCAGGACAGGTTCTTCCCAGCACCTTCCTCTGTCAGAAGAGATGAGATCCATCCCATGGGGAAACGGAGTGAGCAGGGACAGGATGGCCAGAGCGGTGTCTGACAGCTGTGTTTGAGGAATGAGAGGGGGCTACAACGGTGCCTGTGCGGGGAAAAGGGGACCCCTCTCCTCTTTTGCCAGTGTGGGTTGACTCTGTCTCTTCTGTAGGGTCGACTCACTTGTCACCGCACGGCCCATTCCCCACGCCTCTGCTGACGGGTGCTTAGTCTCTTTGCTCCCTGCGGAGCTGCTACATGGGGCCTTTCCCACCGGTGTAGTCATGGTATGGGCTTGTCCTGGCCGTGGCCCGAGGAATGGAGAAATCATTTGGGGGTTCGATGGTCTGAAAAGGAAGCAAGAAAGTCTTTACCTTTCAAAACTGGAGAGAAATAATAGAACAGGGCTCAAAAAAAACAAAACAGGAGAGGGAGAAACAGAGCTGAAGGTTTCCTGGAAGTGCGATCAATGGGGCTGTGGCAGAGGATCCTGACAGAACAAACCAGTAACGGAGGCATGTCACCAGAGGACATGTGGGGACATGATGTTAGCTACTAGACCTGGCTAGGCTACGGTCTGAAGGAGGACTGGTGAATGGACATGGGGACAAGCAGACTGCCCACCCTGGATATGCGCGGCAACTTCCAGTGACTGCTGGTGGGAATACATTCAGGGCATGGGCTGGGGAAAGAAGCACAATCTCCTGAGGAAAGGGCACAGTCTACTGCAGGAACTGTGCTCAAAGAGAGGACTTCTTATGCGATGTCAAATCCAAAATTGTTGAAAACCACAACCTCAGACTTTGCCTTGGGCCCCTCTTGCCTCCCCATGTCCCTGGACATGTCACAGCGCCCTTCCCCCAGCCACAGGCACCTCCATGAACACGTGTCATGGTATCGCCCGGCTCCGTGCAAAGCACCTGCCTGCCTCCACAGATCCTGCTCTAGGTCCATCTGTCTTTGTCCCTTCTCCTTCCCTTCCCTTCAGTGCCTGAACAATAGTCTACATGTGGTGAAACAGGTGAAGGGGGGCATGAACTTACCTTCATCTGAAAGTGAGAAGAGTATGGGGAGTAGCTGAGGTCTCCTGTATCTCCTGAGTCACAAGAAAAGAGTGGGGGAAAGTTAGTGAGTCAGCGTTATATGGTAGCTTGGAAACACCACATCAAGGGAGACTGAAAGGGCCTGTGGCTATCTTAGCAGCTGCTTTTAGACTGATCAAACTGTGCAATATGCAGGCAGGAATGGGTTAAAATCCATAGGTGGGTG